GCTCAAGTCGGGCTCGGCTTCGTCGGCCGTATCTGGTTTTGGCTTGACCGGGGATGTTCTGTGCTGTCCCCTGCGAATCGGGCCCTGGTCAGTTCCCGGTACTATCAGCTCGGTAGGACCGGACTCTTCATTGTTGAATTTGACCTCGCTGCCTTTGAAGAGCTCGGACGTCTCCGTCTTGCCTTCTTCATACGAGCTAAGGGTGAAGAGGTCGTGCAAATCGGTGAGATGGAAGGATGTTCGCTGCTTCGGATCTTTCAGGACCTTGTTCGATAGGAACTGCTTGAAGATTTGACGGTGGTATATTTTCTCCTCAATGGTCCCGGCCGTCATCAACCGGTAGATGGTCACTTCTTTCTTCTGCCCAAGACGCCAAGCTCTTTCACGAGCCTGGACATCCGTGGAAGGGTTCCAGTCAGGGTCGAAGATAATGACACGGTTGGCACCAGTAAGGTTCGTTCCCAGCCCGCCAACCTTTGTTGTCAAGAGGAAAAGGTCAATGTCTGGCGTGTTATTGAACTGGTCGACCAGGGTCTGACGCTCCTTGATCGCCGTCTTGCCGTCCATTCTCAGGTACTTGATACCGCCCTGGCGCTGGACGAACTCCTCGATAATATCCAGCATCTGAACACCCTGGCTGAAGAGCAAGGTCTTGTGACCCAGACGCTTCCACATTCGTAACAGTTCCTTCACAACCTGGAGCTTACCAGACTTCTTCTCATCACCCCACCGGTAGTCTGGTCGATTCTTCAGGTGCGGGTCGAGTAGGTCGGGATGATTGCAGATCTTTCGTAGGATATCGATGCCATAGAGGGACTGCCTAGTCCTTGCCAGAATAGCGCCCATCTCCTCGGATCTTAGAAACCTCTCGTAGGCTTCACGTTGTGGTGTGGTCAGCTTGCAGAAAAGGACCTGCTCGCTTTTCTTGGGCAGATCCGCAGCCACATCCACCTTCAAGCGCTGCAACAAGTAGGGGCTGATGGTGTCCTTCAAAGTTTCTGCACATTTCTGTGCAGTCATGATTTGAAGATTGTTGGCATTGGCATAACCGCCTAATTTGATCGGAATCTCGAACTGATTCCGAAAGCTGACCAGCGTGCCCAGCCGCATGGGATACACAAAGTCGAATAGCGACCACAGCTCCGTTAAGTTATTTTGCATAGGTGTGCCAGAAAGGATGATACGGTTCGCCGTCCTGAGCTCCTTGCAGTTGATCGTGATGGTCGTGTTAGGGTTCCGAATCTTGTGGCCTTCGTCCAGACAGGCATATCCCCACTCGATCGGGATCAGGACATCGGCGTATGTTTGCAGACCGGCATAGGTGGTAACGAGGACATGACCGTGTTTCACCACCTTGTCGACGATCCTCTTCGCCGCTTTACTTGACTGTCGAGGTGCCACGTCAAAGTCATCCTCGTCGTCGTACCGACTCTCCTTGTCCACGTCTACCATTCCACTCCCCGAAGAATGCAGGATAGACACCCGTAACGGTGGCCACCACCGATGAAACTCATTCACCCATTGTCGTAACACAGTAGCCGGAGCCACTATGATAACAGGTCGGTCGAGCATTTTACTATAATGCAACGCCGCCACAAACGATATGAGCTGTACGGTCTTGCCTAGGCCCATCTCATCGCCGATGATACCGCCCACTTTCTGAGAGTACAGCTCCGCCAACCATTGAACTCCAGTTTTCTGGTAGTCAAAAAGCGAAGGGTATATGTCGCCTGGTAGCTTGAGTCCGTTCTCAAACTCATGGTCCGGGTTGTCAGGAGCCGGCTTGAACCACTCTGGGGTACCATCATCCTCGGGTTCAACAGGCTCGCCCAGCCTCTCTTGTCGTCTCCTTCGTGCCCGACTCCGTCGTTCGCACCAGTCCTTAAGTCTCTGCTGATAGACCGCTTCATTACCATCGTCAATGTTGCTAAGGTCAACTTTTCCGTCAGAAGTCTTGACTGCAACGCCTCTCTTCCTCTTCGACTTGGGTGTGAGGTCCGTCATGTCGAAGTCCTCCAGTTCGTCATCTTCGGTCCCAACCGCTCCCGGACTCGTCACCCCCGATGCAGGCGTATAGTCATCATCAGAAGCATCATCCTTGACCACCCTCCTCTTCTTCCTCGGCCGTAACGAGAACTCATTTTCTACCGCCGAGCTAGCACCAGACTCGGGCTCCTCCGCGAACCCAGGTAATCGGAGATTCTGATGTGATCTGGGCTCATAGCCGCTTTGCTCCTCTAACTCCTCCGCAACCGCCTCGTCTTCAGCGTCCAAGATAGCGTCCGCAAGATCACCTTGCAGATCTTCGGGTCGTGGTCCGCCGACTTTGGCAAATGGTGTAATCTTACCCGTTCGGATGAGGTACTCCCGCTGTGTCTCGTTTGGCAACTTCTTCCCTCCTTTGCCTGCCTCGTCGTCTTGAGCTCCCTCCTGATGACGCTCTTCGATGCGCTTCTTGAAATCCGAGATATCCTTGTTGCAAATCTCGAGTTCCGCATCAATGCGAGCGATCTCTTGCAGTATACGGTTCCGCCCTGTTGCTGCACCAATATAGCCGCGAAGCTTTTGCTGTTGAAGGTGTTTCGCATTTTCAAGACGAGACTTGGTTTGTTCTGCCTTCTCGATGCGCTTCTGGTCCTTCTTGTCTTCGGCTTCGATCAAAGCTTGGTTTGCTTGGAAGCTGATGTCTCGCTCGAGGTCGTCTTGGTCGCGGACGTTTTCGGTAAGATTCTTGAGTGCAGACTCCTCTTCAGCCTCCATGCCGTCTTCCTCGATGGCGGCGTCTTGTTCTGGTGCGGATATCGTAACCTCAGGAATGTTGGTCAGGGCGTCAGTCTGGCCGCCAGCCTGGTTTGCCTGGTTGGCCTCGAGGCCCAGACCCGGAGAGCTCATCGTGACGATGCTATTAAAACAGAATCCATAAAGAAACAGCAGAGATCGCGGCGTGATTCTCTCACTAGATCAAGTGAGAAGCGGTGCGCAGGATACTCTTGTTTGGAGCTGATTTTGTGAAACCGCTCCAGAGAGGCAACAGCGAACTGTTGCTGACAGTGAGAGTACTCCGGTCGATAAACCGATGACGCATTACAGCCGCGAAATTCCAGCGTTCGCACGTGATCTTAAGTGCTTGCAGGTCCAGAACAACGACCCTTGTCATGAGCCGTTACAGGCTTACAGCACTATCAACTTCTGCTGTTGGCTTAGACGGCCAGTCCATAAAACATATAGACTCTGGAATTGTTGAGAGGACTTCGATTGCTGATAGAGGCTCTCACACGAATGTCGCGTTGTATTCTGTGTCGTGCATTGAAACCGAGTGAGGCGAAACTTCCTCGAAAGTGAGGTCGCTTTTACGACTTATCTGGTACAGAAGGCTCCGACTTCAAATCAATTACTTCTTGCCTTGAGCGTCTACGTCCATGCTCGCCTGCAGCTCTGCTCAGCAGACTCGCCGTGCTTGGTCCCGTGTTCTGTCAAAGGGAGTGCCATTCAGTTGCAGGGTGATGAGCAGCAGCGCAAAGCCTACAGCAAGACCAAAATGGCTACAAGACATTATCCATGACAGCGCCCCTCCGCCCAAACTGTATTCCTGGACTGTAGCCAACTTACCTGAGAGTGAGGCTTCACAGGCCGTGGAGTCAAGAAATCCGGAGCAAGAGAAGGAACGCATTCACATCCTCGGTATCGGCAACCTAGGCCGCCTCTTCGCGGTCTCTCTTGCCTCTCTCCCACAAGCACCCCCGATAACCCTCATATTCCACCGGCCCTCATTACTCGAGCAATGGGCCTCGTCCCCAGGCCTCAGTATCGAATCGCCATCAGGGAAGATCCATCACGCTACCAACTTCGATGTAGAGTACCGGACGAGAGACCCACCACCCCATGGTCCCCTCACGGCAGCCCGTCCAATCTCCAACCTGATAGTCGCAACCAAAGCACCAGCTGCCTTGCCACAGGTTGACGAACTCAGAGGTTGCCTTGGTCCGGACACTACCGTGGTCTTCGTGCAGAACGGTATGAGTCGTCTATGGCCTCCGCACGGCAAGGAGTATTGCGCACATCGATGGGAAGACGGTGCGCATCCGGATTTCATGTTGGGTGTTACGACACACGGTGTTACGCATTTAGGCCCGTTTAGGAGTCTTCTTGCCAGTCCGGCGGATGTTGCTCTGGGACCGGTCCTGGTGAATGAACAGCGTCCAGAGGGGCCAGAGTATTTGACACAGAGGATACTGGGTGCCCCGATCCTAAACGCGAGACAAGTGTCAAGGTCAGATCTCTGGGTAGTGCAGCTGGAGAAGTTGGTGGTGAACAGCGTTGTGAACCCGCTTACCGCCCTACTACGTTGTAAGAATGGTGTGTTGATTGAGAAGTCAGGCGGGCTGATTGGAAAAGTCATGGATCGACTGATTGAAGAGGCTAGTATTGTCCTCCAAGCCCTGGTGAGAGATTCAAGTACACGGCAACTGGAGACGGACGGGGAGGAAGACGTTCGAGCCTTGCTTGATCGTTTCTCAGCGCCACGGCTGAGAATGATGGTCTATGGCGTGTGTGAGAAAGTGAAAGACAACAGAAGCTCAATGCTACAGGACGTCACGGCCACGAAGCCTACGGAGATTGGCGAGTTCAATGGTTGGCTGGTTGATACGGGCAATCGGTATGGACTGACCGTGGCCACGCATAATGCCATGGTCAAGCTAGTACAAGGAGGTATGGTTCTTGGAGAGGACGACCTTGAAGCGCATATTCTGGAGCCTCCAGTGAAGGTTTGACAAGCCGGAAGGAACTACGGGGTGCCACCCTTTAACCAGGGGCTTTAGAAGTCTCGGACGCTTTGATGTGCCATACTGATAGAGCTGGACTGGTAGAGGGCAAATCAGGAAGGCTACTTACTGACTGCAAATTAGACGGTATGGCCCCAATGCGCGAGAAACGCGATGTACTTCTCGTGAATAGGTATGTGTTGCGGATCGTTAGATGGGTTAAAAAAGGAAAAAGATCTCTCCCCGACAGGATTGAACTGTCGACCTCTCGATTGCAGTGAAATAACAGTCGAACGCTCTAACCAGCTGAGCTAGGGGAGATGTGCTTGTAATCTCTTTGGCTTTTTGAGAACCTATATGGAACAAATATTATGGGCCTGCAAATAGTCCTCGAGTCATGACTGACCAAACTCCCTTCGAAGACGATCACCACCGAGCCACAAATTCTCATCAACGAGTCAGGACAGATGGCCGAGCGGTCTATGGCGCTACGTTCAGGTCTTCCTTTTCAAAAGGGATCACCATTCGTAGTCTCGAAAGGGGCGTGGGTTCGAATCCCACTCTGTTCAATCTCTTTTGTTTTGTCCCCTTCCACGGCAGGGCTGATCTTTGGTGCTGTGATGGCCTCATCAGCGCTTGTGTAGCTGGAGCGTAAGAGGTCAGCTTAGGCGGTGTGGTTTGAACGCCAAAGCCAACGGTCGGAGCCTCAAGAGGTAGCCACATGTATCCAATCTATCCACAACATGTGGCGTCCAGCAAGAAGAACCCTTCCCACGACGTCTCGACGATCAGTGTTGTCGGGCAGCAATGGAACCTTTCACTTTCCTTGCACGCTAAGAAGGATCGCCGTGGTCGAGGTGACCATAGTGCGTACGCACGTAAAGCTCGATCTGGGTACATCCCGGAGACAAGGCGGGAAAAAGACGAATACGATCAGATTGGTATGCCAAGGCTGGTTCAACCACGGTACTTGAAGGCTTGAGCTAACCAGTCGCAACGGTGTAATCTAACGGCATCAGGGCGAAGATTCAGTGCTGACCAGTCGTTTGTGTTTTTGGTCGTCTGAGCACTGCTGTGGCTCGGCAGGTTGGGCCGAGGATCGATGTCACGTCGTTGTACACTGACGAGGGCCCATCGGCTTGCTGCTCTTGCGACATCAATGAAAAGGCGGCTCGTGACCCTTGTTGATAGCTTGATCGGTTGCAGCGGTGATGTCGGTTAGCAGAAAGCAGGTCTGGCTGGAACCTGGTACGAGGCGTCCATCTGTGGGGGATCGTACGACTTATTCCAGATCGTCAAGCCACCCCTAGAACAACAGGGGTGAAGAGGAAGTTTTCTGCATTGTCGTATCCGATCGACGATTTGCCCCAGTCAGTAGTGACCGTTGAAGAAAAGCCGTTGAGTAATTGCAACTTCCTAACGGTGAGCCAGCAGCCAATCCTCATTTCGAGAGCGGCAGTTGCAGAGTCCCTGCCCGTGAGTTGGGCTGCTGTTTCAGATCTTATGCCTGTGTAACCATACAGCCCCATGCATTAACACGTCACTCTCTTGTCTCCGGTTTCTTTCCGCTTTGCTTCGTGCCTGGGGCTGCGGCTGTGGCTTTTCATAGAATGGTGTCGTGTTCTGGAATCAGCTTCAGATGGTCTTTCTGATCTCACGTTTGGCTTAAAGGTAACCTCTAGTTCGGTGCCTTCTTGATCTTATGCCTCGTTAGACTTCTATCGCATGTCAATTCATGATCTCCCCGGCGGTGCAGCCCTGTCCGATGGATCGATCCAAGCAAGATACCCCGGCGTGTCGCGTAGATAAACGTGCAGCGGAGTATTTCTATTGATTAGTGTGCATGGCGGTTAGACGTAAGGTACATGCGAATTAGTCTGTGCTTTTGGTCGCAGGACAGACGGCACGCAGCGGTGAGGTGACTCGACCTTCCGGAAGGGCTGCATGATCCTTCTGCGGCCGCTCTAATCGACCTTCCTTTCCCAGCCATGTGGCTTGTGGAAGGCGGGGTTGTGCGTCTCGAAGCGAGGCAGGATGACGACGAAAGGCGCTGGCTGGGTTTCAATGTATTTCGGTGTACATGCGGACTGCATGAGGCTGCTTTAGCGCGCCATGTGCTGATGATGTGCTTCGTCGGTTCGTGTGCCCATGTCTACAAGCTCACCGATCGCTATGCTAGACCACAGGTACCTGGCAGTGAGGTGACTCTGATGGTAGTTGTTGTTGTTTCCGATCGCTTGGCGGTTGTGCTTGGTTGGTACACGAGACACACAATAGGTAAAGGGTGTTACTTGCATCGAGCCGTGTGTTCCAGCCCTGTCCTCCTCGTAGTCACACTTGGGCATGCACAAGAAACAAGATACCACTGCAAAGACACCAAGCAATATACCTCCACGTGTATCCAACCAGGAACACGGCGGGAAGAGAATCGGTTATTAGAGAAGGTTGTATGTATGCAGCGAGCCATCAAACCCGTGCCGAAGAAGAGGGTGTACTTGTATATGCGGAACACCCTCGTTTATGTGTCGCTTTCTCCCGATGCCGATGCCATGTTCTTCCAGCCCCATTTGCCACTTCGCGCCGTGCCGAGCAGTCAGCGAAGCCCAACCAGGCTTTAGAGGCTGCTGTGCTTTTCCCAACCTTGCGGGTTTACTTCCAGCCCGTAGTCCATCCTGTTCTATCTTTGGGTATCCTCCAGGTCTATATCATGAAAACATGTTGTAATGAAAGAAATAAGAAATGACAACCAAGTAGCAGCAGCCGTGTGGGGTATCTCAGAAATTAGACATGCCACTGCCAATGGTCAACAACCAGATGTAAGACGAGGAGGAAATGAAAGCTAAGTGTGGCTTGGTTATCGTCATTCGATGACCGGAGGGAAAAAAGCATGTTAAACTGCATCTGCCTTCCTCCCAAGGAGTAAACGGTACATGATACCGGGTATACCTCACTCATAAGATTGACGTGGAACAAATAAAAGTCGTAGTTGGTGTACATAGGATTTTGCGGATAGGGGCTGGAGCAAGGAACTTCCGTATCAAGTATAACCTTGCGTCCCAATCTTTGTCTGATTGGTATTGGCGGATTCGAGGATGTGGAAGGATGTAAGCTGCTTGAATCGCGTAAGACGTGCGGTGGTCGAGCAGGTGAGGCCCGACGTATGGGCTGTGTCTGTCCCATTCAGCGCCTTGTGGGAAGATTGTGTCCTCACAACTTATTGGTGTAGTAGCGACGGATAGACGGTGGTGTCCCCAGGCTCAGGAGCCGAAGCCCTGGGAGGGGACATTGATTGCTATAAGTCCTCGTGTTGGCCAAGCAACTCTGCAGCTCTTTCTCGACAGGCCGCCGGAGTGAAACCGGTTCCGACCTTGTTTGCTACAATTCGCCACTTTTCGTTCTCGTAGTCTTGCAGTGCTGTACGAAGCTTCTGATCCTATGAGACCAGCGGGTTAGCATACGGTCAAAAGAGTATCTATGGGAACGGGCGCCGGGCGGCGTATCCCTCAGGCAACCTGATAATTTGGCAAAGATCGCTTACCGTTTCGTCTGACCACTGCGTCGTCTTTGCCTTCAGTTTTGTGCAGTATCGGACCTGGAGTGTGCCACTCGATCGTCCTGGAAAGAAGTCGGCGATCTGTTTCCATGTCAAGCTCTTGTTCTCCTTGAGATCAATGAGAAGCTGGTCGTCTTCAGGAGTAAACTTCAGTTTGGGACCCCTTGGACGTGGTGCAGGCGCAGGCATGCCTGCTTGTCCTACGACGCTTGGCGCACCGCCTCCCACGTCTCCTCCTCCTCCTTCGCGGCGCACAAGCTTTGCAGGGGGTCCAGTGTCTGGAAGCCTGTGGTGGTGATGGGTCGGTGCAGCGGTGGCTTGCCCATATGCTGCTGCACCCAGACCTGTTTGGTGCATTGGGTCCAGGTCGCTTTCTTGTAGATCTGGAATGCCTGGGACGGACAGATCCATATCATCGGGGCGTGCCCTCTTCAGCGATCCCGGCCCATGTGTTGGTGTCAGGGTGGAGTAGTGAGGCGTAACGACTGCGTGATGAGAAGGACCAGCGACGGCATAGTGCTGTGGTCCGGAGTGGCCCAGGTGTCGACTGCCTGGATGACCACCCAGTTGACTTGGGTCCATCAATATCTGATGATGCGAGGGGGCATGATGTGCTGCCAGGGCGTGATGGGAGCTCTGTGTGTGATGGTGTTCGGTCGGGCTGTGAAGTGAGCTCGGTCCGGCATGACCGAGCGAGGTCCGGTGGTGTTGATGGGCCTCATAGGGATTTGGTTGCTGCTGCTGCTGATGGTGGTGCGCATGCTGTTGATGCTGAACCTGCTGGTTCGGATGCGTGTCCTGTGGTGAATAATCGACATGATAGTCCGGTCCTACTCGATAGTTGCCCGCCACCGTGTCTTCGATGCATGGGGTCCGCCAGAGTGAGCCACCCTGGCTGGTCACCAAAAAATGTATGGGAAAGTGTTTGTGAAGGAAAGCCCCGCGCGGGTTTACGTCGGGAACGTTGGTCGGAATAGTGATTGGCCGTCTGACTGTATTAGTCTCTGCGGTTATACAGCCTTTTGGGACAGGATGCAAGCGAAGTGATATGCGACTGGTGCTATAGGACAACCGACACGCCACCACATGTGCTGGTCTTTAGTACGAGACTGGATCGGTGCGAACTCAACCGACTGAGAGTGGGTGGGCTGCGGAGCGGCGGATGAGTGATCGGGACTCCGTCTGGTAGGTCCTCCCTTGCACGTAATGCCGTTGGATGTCCGTGGAATGGCCGGAAGCGATAATACCACCCTGCTAAGCCCTTCCTCCTCCACTTCAACCACCGTGTTCGTCCAGAAGGTACACGCTGTCGCGTCTTGTTGTCCAGAGAAGCATCCAATATCGGAGTGGCACGACTATACAGTGTTGGGTATGAGCCAAAGCAGAGCGCGATGTCGACAGGGTAAGACAGTATGGAAAGGATTAGTTATTATTATATATATGGGTTGATCTTCGTCGGTATCAAGCAGGTACTAGGCGGGCAGTATGTCTCTCTGGTTCGGGGGCGCAACTAGCTTTTATGAGTGGTAGGTGATCTCCCTTGTCCCAGACATCAACGCATAAGACGCGGCTTATCAAGCCTTAAAGACAGTCTGTTCCTGACCATGTGTGGGGAGCCAAGTTACCCTTCGACCAACGATGACGGTGGCATAATTTGAGGATCTTATGCCATGGTCGACCTCCGAATATAGGTCCAGCTCTTTAGCTCGAAGGTAGTTGATGCGACAAGGGTAGCATGAACTCCAGCAGAGCTAGTAGGTAGGCTACTTCCAGCCCTTGTCCTGGACCAGACAGGGTTCTGCGGTACAGCAAATTAACGAATTCGAAAAACAACCCCGGCCATCAGGCCGAAAGAAGAATGCCTGTTTCTCAACGTCTGCCCACTTTGGTCCAAACAGAGAGAGATCTGAAAAATGCATAGAACAACGCGAAACAACAAGGCTTTAACAAATGAGAAAACAGAGATTTGAAACACGACTTTCCATGCGTCTGGTAAGAAACCTCAAAAAAAGTCAT